CTCTCTCTCTCTCTCTCTCTCTCTCTCTCTCTCTCTCTCTCTCTCTCTCTCTCTCTCTCTCAAAAAGTGAGTGAGATATACAGTACAATAATAAATTAATAAAAAGCTATTAATCTGTAAAATGTTTTTAAAATATCCAGAAGAAAGTTGTATCCAAACTTGAAAGATAGTATTTTTTGCTTTACCCCATGGTTGATAAATCCATAGTTCTTCATATAGGTATAAATCCCAAATTGCTGGTATTACGTTAAAAAGTACATCCATAGTTTAAATTGTATTGAACTTGGTAATACCATATCCACTTACGAATATAGTGGAGAAAGCCCATATCATAGGAGTAAGTGTCCCTTCACCCATTTTATATTTCCAGTATAATGAGGTTGATAGCCAACTCTTTTTAAGCATTCTCTGATGTGTTCGATAAACATGACGGGGGAAAAAAGGTTGTTGCATTAATCTCATCTTAAAATCATGAGAAACATACTTTCTGTTCTTTAAAACCTGTAAACCATTGATTTGTTAATATGAATATTCCAACTTTTCAGAGTTCTTTCAAATAAATATTATCTATATTAATGATATTCTTAGTTTATTAAAAAATAAACATTTTTTTAAATTGTTAAAATAAAAATAATTCAAACAGATAACAGTATTGACAATAATTCAGGAGTTTTAAATGATACTTGTGCACGGAACCAAACTGTAAAATGAAAAGAATTTTCAATTTATACTGCCATTTCACAGTTCCTAAATTCTTAAGACTGCTTCCAAGCAATTTATTGATGACATTCTACAATACAGTTTGTTTCCAGACTTCAACAGCAAGTTGCATTGCTAAATTTTGATGTCATAGTTTGCTGATTCCTTACTTAGGAATCCTACCATCAAACTATAGGTATGAGAAGCTCCTTAATGTAGAAACCCTCTTAATCTACATCTCTGTGTTTCCTTCTTTTTAACCTCTGGAGACTCAGAGTTATAATCTTAATTAATTTCTAAATTACCTTTGTTTCTCTGCAGTTTATCTTGTTGGTCTTTTTGGCTGCAGGGTAATGTAAGAGCCTTTTGATGATTACTGAAGCAACTCAGCATTTCTCCCTCTTAGAGAGCTGTGCATGCCTGTAATGGCAGCTACTTGAGCATTTGGCCCCTTTAGTTCTGACTAAACATCCATAGGGCTGGGATTTGAAGCTCTAATTGATAGATTTGAAGCTTTGACTCTTATACACATAAAGTTTTATGAATGCTGAAAGTACTACTTTTCAGAAAATCTTCATATCTAACTTTGCCTTACATTCTGCTGTTCTATTGATTCTGCTTTGAATATTTGGAGAAATTATTGTTACCCTTCCTTGTCTGAAACCTCCCTTTTCTTATCAGGGAATAAACCTTTCAAGAACATAAATAACTAGGTAGAATATAACTTAATAGAGGGACAGAGCTTTGTCCCTCTGAGATACTCCATTACTTTTGTTGGAAGACAAATTGCCATTTATTAAGTAGAGCTCTTAGAAGCTAGCACATTTACCAATATTCATAATAATGTAGTTTATGTAACGTTAAGCAGAAGACTGCCCTTGTAAGGCAGTTGGGAAGAAGGAACAATAATAAGACTGGGACTGTCCCAGAAAAATAAAGTAGAAGAAAATTGTCCCATTCTTTATCATCTGTCTGAAAATATATTGCAGAGGGACCTCGTTCAGCTATTCTTTACCCAGCCTTTTGAATTATTATTTTGCACCTCTCTGGATTCTAGAGAAAAACAAAATAGTTCCTGTTGGTTCAGAATTTATCCATGTTGAATTTTTTACAAATCTTCAGAGAAGAATAAAAACAGAGTAATGGTAGTATTAAGATTTTCATGTCATTTAATTTGTATAGAAATTATCCCCCCCTCCCTCCCTCCCTTCCTTCCTTCCTTCCTTCCTAAGCTGCATGTGGATTTTTTTTTATAGATGACTAGGGAAAAGAAGAGTCTAGTTTTGCTCCATTAGCCTCTGATTATATTGTGGATCCTAAAAATGCAGTTTGTTGAATAAACCCTTTATTAGAATGCCCCGTTGCATTATGTGTTATGGCTGGTTTAAATGATCTGCCACCTTATTATGGGCACCTGTTCCTTGGTAAATTATTTATTTAATATTATAGTTTTACTCTTTCAGCATATGTACTGAATTGCCTAGGATTATTTTAATTAAAAATGCACCCAAATTCTTCCCTCAAAGGATAGTTCCAGATTGATTCCTTTTAAATTGCTCTTTTCTGTTCTATACTTGCTTTGTTGTTCACTGCACAGAGTCTTGATTGGGCAATCTACAAATATGTAAATTAATAAATAAAATGTACTTCCCTTCACAACAGAAGCTAGCGCCTTACTTAAAAGTAAAATTATGTATCATATTCCATGCAATGTAAGATCACATATTTACCATTTTAAATGTTGTCACTCCTGTCTCTGGATTAAGACCATGAGTCTTATAGGCTGCAAGAAAATTATATTCTTTCCTTTTGCCTATCAGTGCAAGAAAGAGCTAACATGGCCTTAATTTTCAATGAAGATGGCCAGATTGAAAGAATTATTTTGTTGGATCTACAGTAGTAAAAACCAGAAGAGTTTAAGCTCTTCCCTGCC